CCATTTCGGTGCACCCCTCACACGTTTCGTGGCCCCATAGGGAGCTCCACCGAAGGCCCCAATGGCAACGCCCGCGTGCAATTGCACCCTCCATGTCGGCACACCCTTTACACGGTTCGTGGCCCAACAGGAAGCTCCACCGAGGGTTTTAATGAAAACGCCCGCATGCAATTCCACCCTCCATGTCGGCACACCCCTCACACGTTTCGTGGCCCCATCGAGAGCTCCACCTAAAGCCCTCATGACAACGCCCGCATGCGGTTCCACCCGCCATTTCGGTGCCTCCGGTCCATGGCCCAGAAGGAACTCCACCGCAGGTCCCAATAGCAACGCCTGCATGCGGTTTCACCTTCAGTTTCCGAGCACCCCTCACACGCAGGTCCACCTAATTAAGGCCCCAATGGCAGCACCCGCATGTGGTTCACCCTCCATTTCGGCGAATCCCTTGCACGTTTCGTGGCCCCAAAGGGAGCTCCACCTACGGCCCAAGTGGCAGCGCCCGCATGCGGTTCCATCCACCATTCCGGTGCACCACTCATGCGCTTCATGACCCCAAAGGGGGCTCCACCGAAGGCTCCAGAGGCAACGCCCGCATGCGGTCCCACCTTCCATTTCCGCGAACCCCTCAGACGTGTCGTGGCCCTATAAGCCCTATAAGGAGCTCCACCTACGGCCCCACTGGCAGCGCCCGCATGGCGGTCCCGCCACATTTCGGCACTCACGCGCTTCGTGGCCCCATAGGGAGCTCCACCGACCACAATACTCGCAAGGACGGTACCCACAACAGCGTATGGTTGGGCCCTTCACCAGGCTAATTTTTCAAGCTGGCTCTGGAGACCCCCACGGACATCCAAGATCGCCCCAAGAGGCCTCCAACAGTCCCCCAAGAGCTTCGGGGAGTCTCTCGAGAGGCCATCATCATTGCAAATACTACGGGAACATACGGTTTTAGTGTTCTCCACGCTTCAGAGGCTTGCGCAGGCACCCCAAGAAAGCTCCAAGAAGCCCCCAAGATGCGTTCCGAAAGGCTCTTGGGGCATCTTGGAGCTCTCCTGGGGGCCTCTTGGGAGCTCTTGAGGGCCTCTCATGGCCCTCTTCGGCGCTGGATGCCTCTGGGGCGGCTCCTGGGAGCTCGTTGGGGCCTGCTGGGCTGTCTTAGTGCTATCCTGGGGGCCTCTTGGGCCGTCCTGGAGCGTTGGAAAGCTGAGAAAGCATGAGGGAGGCGGAGAGAAGAAGGCGTGAAGGAGACACGGGGAGGAGGGAGGAGCGAACATGACGCAGCGGGGAGGTGGAACATGTCGATGTTGAATTCAATCTTGACCATCAATCGCCATCCATTCGTGTAGCCGTCGGCAATGTTCAACACGACTGTGTGTCGCGTTGCGACGAAACCACACTTTGGAAAGGAACAGGCCTCCGTCCATGTAGATGTTGCAAACTTTTACAACGAAGGTTCGCGACGTTATGGCGAGAAACGCATATTGAAAAACATCCCCAATCGACCCGTACCACTGTTGGGAACGTTTAAGACGAATGAGCGCTTGCCTGGGCGAGAACCACATGTTGAAGATGGCTTCCCCTCCATCCGTGTGCTTCTGGACACTTTTCAGACGAATGCGCGCTGCGCGACGACGAGACCAACAGGTTTAAAGCACCCCCTTCCCTCTGTGCAGCTGCGGCGAATTTGAAACTTCAAGGCCTCCGCCTGATAGGAATTCTCAGGCGAAGCGCCCAGCCCTCCTTGTCAGGATGTTTTCTTCCAGCAGGACCAGCGATGGCGAAGAATGATGTCGACGGACGCCAGCAGGGGGCAGCGGAGTGCAGTGTGAAGACTGGCAGAAGACACGGGGCAACATGTTTGCCCAACTCTGCCGGGGAGAAAACGAAGAGGAAATATCAACGAGAAGGTTTCAAGTAACAGAGGCGGCACCGTCCGGTATGTACCGAACGGCACATGCGTAATCCAGTGAGGGCGCACGATGTGAAACACTGCTATAAGACATTTTCGCCCACTCTGAACTTCGCTAGGTCCTCCAAGGCCCTGCGGGCCCACTGGGAGAGAAGAACGCATCGCGGGCCATTCATCTGGAGGACAGCTTCTCTTGACATGAGGGCAATGGGTCCCCAGGGAAGCGGATCATGGACGAAGGGGCCTTCCCCCAGGACCGGCTCTTCATCCCGAAGCGTTGTCTGACGGTCCCAGGGCGCGCAGAGGGACTCGGGAAACCCAAAACTGCGAAACTCGGGGATGGACAGACCTCCCTTTAGTAAAACGTGGTTTAGTAAAAACGACCTGAGGCCCAAATCTGGCGGACGCAAGCCTGGAAAATAACGGCCGCGGCGCCCTCTCGAGAACCGAAAACGGACAATCCACTAGTCGGCGTGTCACTGTTGGGGGTTCTGTCCACCCCCGAGAAACTGGAGCAACACTCCGCGGCACAAGCATGCTTCCCGGCAGTCCACGCAGATGCTGTGGATCGGCGCTTCCAGCCCCCCCCCCCCCGGCGCGCGCAGCGCGCCAAGGGGCGGCGTCGGAGGCGCCGCCAAGGGGAGCCCAGCGCCGGTCCAAGAGATCAGCGCGGACCTCAGAGATGGCGTGTTCGCGCCGCGCTCGCTCCTCGAGACAAGCTTTGGGTCGGGCGTGTGCTCCTACGGGCGGACTCGGGAGGAAAAACATACGAAATAGTCAAAACCTGTTCGAACATGTTCAACCACATCGTCTTAAGTCGGGCCTGTCCCCCTACAGGGGGATTTTCGACGAAGAATAGAAATACCCCAAAAATAATCCAAAGATAGTCCACAAATGGTCTGGGGACTATTTTTCGAGTAGTTTCTGACCTTTTGGGGGCATGTTTGGGGTATTTTCTATTTTCGTCGAAAATCTCCCTGTAGAGGGACACGCCCGACATAATACTAAATAGCCCAAACCTGTTCAAACATGTTCAACCACATAGTCCAAACATCGCCCCCAGACTACATGTGTTGACCATGCTTGAAGGTTCCTCCTTCAGACAAGAGGAGGAGGAGGAGGAGGAAGAGGAGGAGGAGGAGGAGGAGGGAGGAGCAGGAAGAGGAGGAGGGAGAGGAGGAGGAGGAAGAGGAAGAGGAGGAGGGAGGAAAAGGAGGAGGAGGAGGGAGGAGGAGGAAGAGGAGGAGGAGGAGGGAGGAGGTGGACTGCATCTGTTGACCCTGCCTGGGGATCCCTCCTGCAGAGGGGCAGGCCCGACTTCAGACAAGCCTCGAGGCTCGCTTCTGTCGGGGGCCCGCCTCCTGCCCGGCGCCCCTTCTCTGGCGCAGGAGGAGGAGGACGAGGAGGAGGACGAGGAGGAGGAGGAATAGGAGAAGGAGGAGGAGAGGAGAGGAGGAGGAGGAGGAGGAGGTGGAGGAGGAGGGAGCGAAGGAGGAGGAGGAGGAGGAGGAGGAGGAGGAGGAGGAGGAGGGGGAGGAGGAGGAGGAGGAGGAGGAGGAGGAGGAGGAGGAGGAGGAGGAGGAGGAGGAAGGAGGAGGGAGAAGGAGGAGGAAGAGGAGGAGGAGGAGGAGGAGGAGGAGGAGGAGGAGGAGGAGGAGGGAGGAGGAGGAGGAGGAGAGGAGGAGGAGGAGGAGGAGGAGGAGGAGGAGGATGGAGGAGGGAGAAGGAAGCGGGAGGACAGAGGAGGAGGAGGAGGAGGAGGAGGAGGCGGAGGAGGAGCAGGAGGAGGACGAGCAGGAAGAGGAGGAGGAGGAGGAGGAGGGAGGAGGGAGGAGGGAGAAGGGAGGAGCAGGAGGAGGAGGAGGAGGAGGAGGAGGAGGAGGTGAAGTGAGAAGGAGGAGGAAAGCCTCCTCAGAAGGCGGCGGGACACATCTCAGAGCCCCTCCGCGCCTTCCGAGAAGTGTTCTCTGTCGTCGGGAAGGCTTAGAACACGTCTCTGAAGGCCTTGGGAACTTCCGAACCTTCTGAGATAGCCTTCTGCTTCTCAGCCGAACTCTGGGAGGCTGCCGCGGGCGCCTGCAGATCAAGGGAGGAAAGTATACCGATACCGCGATCCTTCCCTCATCACTACGGCCGGATTCGCCTCAAAATCCTGGTCCGGCGGCACCCCAGGAGAGGTCCGTGGGGTAGCTGGCATTGGTACCTTGTTGTCCCCTGCAGAGGCCCGAACAGAGCAAGCACGCAGCAAGACCCCAACCCTCGCGCCCTGATCCTCGAGCGCGCGCGCGCGCGTGCGGGCACAGACGTCGAGCGTCCCTCCCCAGACCCCTCGAAGATCCTCATGTGTGCCAACGTGTGCTTGTCCACGGAGGGCCCCCAATACGACACAGGCGATGAAATTCATGAGGTCCGACACGGGCTGCGGGCTATCGGTGATGATGAGGTGGAGGAGGAGGAGGAGGCGGAGGAGGAGGAGGAGGAGGAGGAGGAGGGGGAGGAGGATACACGTTGAGCCAGCACACGCCCTGCAGATCGAAGGGCCCCGCGGCGCCGACCAGGTGCTCGTCAGGGGGGGGGGGGGCAATGAGCGTGGGGTGAAGACACGTGCACCTTTCGTGCACCTTTTTTGGCCCGCGGTGGCACTTGATTTGAGCAAGGACCGACCGTTCCGGCATTCCTATAGTCCTACCACGACATGTTCTTAGAACCCAAGAATGTTCTAATCATAAAAACGATGTTATTATAACATAAACCCGACGTGTTAAAACAAGACAGTCCGGCCAGAAATGTTCTAAGAACATTTCGTGGGAACCACAAGAAATCTTAGAACATTGTTTGGTGGGGCTATAGGCGAGCCGGGACGCTTCGCCACTGCTTGATTGATGGACCCTACAGGGCCCCTATAGCGCCACTCCTCTGCAATGATGTGCAAATTTTCCACCACCGCTACTGTATGTAGGACGAGGGAGAAGGAAGGATGAGGAATTCCTCCTCCTCCTCCTCCTCCTCCTCCTCCTCCCTCTGCTATCTATGGCAGGGGTGGTGGAACATGGGCCTTTCACGCAAGCATCGGTCCCTCTGAGTTTGCTGCTCCCCCCTCCCGTTGTCGTCCGCCCGAGCCGAGCGGCGAGAGGCCTCTCCGGGCCAAAGGCCGCGCCGCCCGGCTTCTCGGGGCCGAAGGTCGGCTTCTCGGGCCCGTAGGCGACGGGCTTCTGCGGCCCCAGCACCGCCGGCTTCTCGGGGCCTCGGCTCCGCCCCCGCGCCCGGTGCCGAGGAGGAGAGCGCCAGGCACTCCTCGTGATCTTCGGCGCTTCTGGTGCTCGCGGCGCCTCCAGGCGCCAGAGGCCAGGGACTCCCGGAGGACCCCCAGAGGACCTCCAGAGGACCTCCGCTGGCTTCCGAGGCGCACCCATGCCCCTCTCCCACCTTGCCTGTCTTCACCTTCGCTGTCGCCGGGCGCCATCACAATCACCACCGCTGTCGTTGCCCTCGTCGCCACCACCGGCATCGTCGGTACGACAGCCGTGATCGCCGCGGGCAGCGCTGCCCTCATCGCCGTGGTACGATTGAACGCCACCTGCCGTGAGATTCGTACCGCCAGCAACGTCCGCCAGCTGCCCTCGTGGGGGCCACGCTGCTTCGAGCAGCAGCAAGCTTCAGCAACTGAGCAGCTCAGCGCTCAGAAGCAGTGAGGCACTTCGCAACCTTGCGAGATGCAGACAAGGCGTGTCATCAGAATGCACGGTAAGGATGCAACGGCCTTGGAAGGCCATGTCGACACCGTTCGAGTGGGGCTGGCCAGAGAAAGCTGCCAAGCATTGGCCGAAGGGGCAAGGATGAAAAAACAACCTTTGAAAATTGTTCATCCTTACTATGCGTTTTGAGTGTGATCCGGAGCTCAGCACGTTGGCCAACGAGATCTTCTAGCCACCCACTCTCAAAACGCAGAACTGCTCAATTTCGAAATTTCTGAGCGGATGAGACTTTGACTGAAAACCATGGACCCGCGCTCCCGAAGCGACAACCCATCGTACATACTACGGGTCCGTACGCCCGAGTCCACATCCCTCGTAACAATAGATGTGTCTGCGCACCCGAACACACGAGCTCCTGACATTTTGAAACTACATCGCGTTCGAGGCCACGATCATTACGACGAAAATGGATCCACGCTCCCGAAGTCACGATCTTTTGTTTGTTAAGGAGTCCGTCCTCCGGTGCCACGATCCCTGGTACACATACAGTGGATCCGCGCTTCCGGTGCCACGATCCGTGGATCCTCGCTCCCGAAGCAAAATTTCTTTGCAACAAGAATATTGGTTCGCGATCCTGGGGCCACGCCTCCTTTAGGAGAAAGGAAAAACGCTGGTTCCGCGCTCACAGGACAACGATCCTTGACGGAAACTGGCAGGTCCGCGACCCAAAGCCGCTGAACACCCAGCCAGCCTTCCAACTTTAGGCAGCAAGGTTGCGAACCAGCCCTTGAGCGAACCACCTAGCCAGCTGGCCAGCCAGCCTGCCCACCGTCCGTCCAGACAGCGAGCCGACCAGCCGAACGATGCCCTGGCCTCAAATTCGCCGATCCACAGACCAACCCGGTCGACCCCGCCACGCAGGCAACCAGAGTGAGCGGGGGCGGCGGCACAGGGCGAAACCGCTCAGAGTATGCTGCAGCTGCAGCTGGTGCATCTGCGCTCATCACCTCCATTGCCACACTGACATTCGCGTCGTCTCAGGAACGCTGACACTCTCATCCAACACGGTAAGCTTCGTCATGCTTGCGCACCGTATCGGTCAGTGAGCCCTTCGCCTTCGATGTACCATTATCTGCCTCCTCGCCACCAGCTGATCTTAACTGGAGCCTTCGTTGCAGTGCTTCAGATTCAGACTTGGCAAGCGTGGCCACAATCAAATAGACCTGTCGCCAATCAATTCCCCTATGTTCATGCTTTGTGTTTCTCCGTTCTCCCTATTCGCTCTCCGTAGTATTTTCCCTCTGTGTTCTCCATTATTCCTTCTCTCTTTCATTTTCACCCCTCCTGCCCGAACGACCCTCGAAGCTGGGCCATCCTCCTGGAACCTGCAGGTTTGGGCTGAAGAGGGCAAAACCACGATCGTGCAGACTGTAGCTGCACGCTGGGACGAAAAGCATGTCTGGTGCGATCCAGTGGACGTGACAAGACTGCCAGACGTATACATCGGCAACTGGCGGGGGATCTCGAAGTGAAAGGGAGATCCCCCACCAGGAAGTCGGTTTCGGTGCCATGTCCTTGTCGCGATTGCGGGAGGCGAAGTTGCGTGCGCGGGCGAAAGGGGTGATTCCGCCGCTGCTAAGGCGAAACCATAGCAAACACCTCTCCTCCCCTCCTGTTGGCAGATTGGGCCCGCGGTTATCCTGCGGTTGTCCCGATGTGTGTTCCGATGGTTGCCCCGGTGATTGTCCCGACGGATGTCCCGAAGGCACCAAAAGTGGAACATAAGGGAAAGGTAACGGTATCGGTAAATCTATGTTCCTCTTCTGACATTCGGCCTCCCGGGGCTCATCGACCAGCTGTGGCAGGAGGCCACAT